TGGGCAGAATTCTGTAAACCAGATCAAAATTTAGAAACACAAAGAAACGAAGGAGAAAAGAAGATAACAAAGGGGAATACGGCTGGGAGATTAGCCTTACGAGTGTTCCTTGGAACCCCCCAAGATCTTGGAACACAAGGAATGTCGTCAGGCTTCCCTGACAACTCCCAAGAATCTCCCTTGGCAAAAAAGAAACTCAGTTTCCATCCTTTATTAGAAGACAGAAGCCCAGAGATCAGAGTCTCCGCCTTTAGTCATTTAGCAAAATACAAGAAACCTGAGGAGGGAGAGGACTTCAATTGGAAAAGGAAAGCAAATTCTCGTATAGAGGGAAGGAAAAGGTTCCCACTCTCAAACCAATGAACGAGGAAACCAACCAGGAGGCCCCAACCGTTGGGAGACAATTGGGCTGGGCAGACGTTGTAAAATCCGAGAACATTCTGGATGAAGAGACGGATAAGAAATCGAAGACCAGCCCGGAATGCGGACTCGAAGAAGCCAATGAGTCCGAGGAGGATAGAATTGCACCTTTCGTGCTCCCTGGGGGAATGTAATTCCACGAAATCAGAAAAGTGATACTCATGCCTCAACTCCTCCAAATCCTCATCATCAAGACAACTAGGGGTCCCCTCCGCACAACAAGTCAGGTCAAACGGCTCGCGACGAGTTTGATTTTCAGAAATAAGGGGCGGAGCCGACTCGAATTTCCTTTTCTTCGTTCGAGCGGAAGAACCAAGAAGCAAGGCAGAAATAGATACTGCCTCCGCTAAAGGCATCGGGGATGAAGCTCCAGGAGTAGACTCAGGGACTCCATCGCCAGCGGAAAAGGAACACCTGCTGGAGGAAGCCGTGGTGGTCTCCTCGACCTCCCCACTAACGGATTCCAATTCGAAAGAGGAAGAAACAACAAATTTCCATATCAAAAGGTCGGATCTCACTCTAGAATGAAGGGAAGGGAAATGCAAGGCACAATTCGCCAAAAATAAAGGTTTCAGACACCAGACCCTAAGTAAGGATACCCTCGCCACTAAAGAACGATCTACGAATAGCCAAAGGGAAGAAAGATCGTCAGAGTGTTCTCTAAAATAACTAAATCTCCAGACCAAAAAACTGAACCCAAAACCCCACCAGGGAGGGTTAAATGGATCCAGATCAAAATAGCAAGGAGAAAGGAAAAAAGACGTACCTAGTGAAACGCTAGAAGAAGAGAAGAACCAGAGATGAGGATGTCGTAAGTCGCCCTAGAGTCCAGGTCAAAACACTTCGAATGCACAAAAAGGGAAGAGAGCACGAGAAAGGGTGGAACTCGAAACCACAGAGCAAAAAGCCAAGAGACCTCCCCCTTTTTTTTTACGAGGGACGTATATGTATGCATGAAGCATTAAATTCGAGACAGGCAAGTGACAAGACACGCCATAAAAGCCGCATCCACAAGCTCACCCGATGGTGACACATGCTCATTGTCGTCCCATCATTGCCGACAAACGAAGGCATGGCCCAATCCTAGTCAGAACCAATAGCCAGACACAGTCATCACAGCAAAAGCGCAAAACATGCCCAATAAAGTCATTTTTAACCCCAGGCTAGAAATGATAACATTTCCATGACTTGGGGCTAAAGGGCAACTGATATTGACGAAATTCACGGCCAAGGCCTTGATGGTCCAGAAGCCTGACAAGCCCAAGAGGTCCGGAGCAGGAAAACGGGACCTAGCATAGGCAAAAAGCCTATAGCCCAGTAGTTTGGGCCCAGCCCAAACCATAAAGTTATTTGGAGAGTAAAAGCCCGATGCAAGCTATTTCTAGATGAGTAAAGGGGACCATGCGTCCAGGGGGACTACCCTTGACATTTGCAACAATCTTAGAGAAGGTGGAGCACCCAGTCGCCAGAGATTATGGCAACGGCAGCACTGGGTGAACAAAGACGCCAAATGAACAGTGATTGTGGTGGTAGAAGAAGCAGAAAGGAGTCAGAGGAAAGGACAATTGGACGATAAGAAGAGGACTCTAGCTCTCCCCCCTAAATAAAGAGAAGATCAGTGAGTGCCAAGAAGCCAAAGAACATAGAAAACTAAGAGGGAATACCTAACCCCTTACCATTTGTAAGTGGGCTGTGAGTTCCCAAAATTACTAGAGGCATTTTGTCAACCGATGAATATATAAATCCAGCGAGCAAGAAGCTTTTAATAGTGGATGTAGCCTTAGTCCTTCAGTTAGGGTGAACTACTTATATTCCTAATCTAACTAATCACAAATTCATAATCTGCAAAGCCATTTCTAACACCATCCCATCTTAGTTGGGTTTGGGCCCTAAAATCCGAGCACCATCACTATCCATTGAAAAAAATATGTTGATAAAGCTTAAATACAAAAATCTAATAAATGTTTCCGCATATCAAAAGACAATAATATAAAATATTTTATAATAATTTAAATCTTAAAATTTATTTTAAAAATTAATAGGACCTCCTTTAATTTTCTCACAACTAAATTATTTTTTATTTCTTATAAAAAAACACAATAAAATGTAAGAAAGTTGTGATTTATAACTAACTTCTTATTTTATCCTTTTTTTTTTCTTAAAATATTTTAGTGGTTCTAAATTTTAAAAAATCTTGGTATAGATTTGATTAATCATATAATTTAGCCCAAAAATTAGATTTCGAGTCATTTTTTAAAAAACATTAATTTTTAATTATAATACACCTTTTTTCTTCTTTAAATTGATTTAATATAATTAAGAGTAATTTAGACAATTATACAAATTTTCTTATAACTTTTCTTTCTTACAAACAATAGAATGAAAATTTTTTAAAACTTTCCCGTTAGTTTTTCATTATAATCAATTACATGTATGAAAAAATATTTTTTTTATCATTTTTTTATCTTTCACTTCGTTTCCTATCATTTTTACTTTCCATCATTTTTTTTCTTCTTATTCAAACGGAAAGTGGGTGACTAATGCCTTTTTTTTTTTTCACATTCATTGTGCTTTTGTTGAATGCTTTTCGTGCTTTTGATACCCTTACTGGGCAGTTTTTTATGGCTTTGAAATCATCTTTAAACTGTTTCCACCCATGTCTTCTCATTACTGTGTTGTAAAACACTCATCACTCTCATCTTTGGGGCTGTATCTTTTTACTAGTTTCTTGAGTTGGCCATAAGCGACAAAAAGGAAAAGGTGTATGAAAAAAAAAAAAAAAAGGAAAAATATGACAAAATACACCGAAGGATAAGCCTAATAGAAATGGGAGTGGAAGTCCAAAGGAATGGTGAAATACGAGGGTTAAAATTACACATACTGCCTAACAAACTTGCTGTGAAGAAGCTAGTGAAAGGGTCAGACAGAGATGCCATTAGCCATCTCCAAATCCTAGTTAAATTTGGGTTTTTTTTCCCACACAATATTATTTTTTGCTTACAACTTAGAAGTTACAGAGAAATCCAAGCATCAACAAGGGTTAATAGTACTTTTAGTCGGTTTGGTTCTTAAAGTATTAATTTGATTAATTTAATCAGTTTGGTCTTTAAAGTATTCAGTTCGTGTTTAAATTATTTCTACATAAATGAACCATTAAATTTTTGACATAATGATCACGTGTTAAGCGCTTGATACCATCTAAAAGAAGACACGTGGTCATTTCTGTTTAAAAACTTAACAAAAATGTCTTATTAGGGACTAAAGTGACACAAATTAAAAATTTAAGGACCAAATTGAAAAAATTAATACAATGAGAACCAAACTGACAAAACAGACAGACTTTAGAGACTAAAAGTGTTACTAAAAGACAATTTTAAGTGAAATTAAATTTTATTTACTTGAATTGTTAGAACCACAATTTGGGTGCAAAGAGAAACAGATAATTTCAACTGTGAATATGAAAATGCACATTTGTCCTTTTCAGTTGTTCCATAGGCATGTAACTATCAGATGATGTACTTATTCAGTCGATTAATTCCCAGAATTAACAGAATCTAACAATTATAATTGGGCATCTAAATAGTTGCAAAGTTCTCTCAAAACCAAACTAGCAAATCATGTTCAAACATTTTAAGATTGATTCTAAATTTCTTCAAGTCGAGCGTAGATCTTACTGAGTATTTTTTGAGTAGTAATTTGACCCTAAATGAATTGTAATTAACCTTTATTCAGTTGTAAAATTTTGGTACAGTAGCAAACTCGGCGTCATTGTCTTATTATAAAAAAAATTGGGTTACAAGAAAATTAACAAATTTAGAAATAGTAACCAGAAAGGCATCATCAACACAAGTGAGTCACCTAAGAAGTAAGAAGATACTATACGATTTTTTTTTTTTAATACAATAGGAACTATCTATTGAACAAACAAAAAGTCAGAGTCCTAGGTAATTAATTTGGGTAAAGTCAAGGTAATTTAATTGAAGAAAAAGCCCAGCCCCTAAAATTCTAAACAAACCACAAAGGTGAAGGACAACCCAAGACAGTTCCTATCCTACTTCCTCAAGATGAAAGTAATTTATGACACCCGAGGCAGTAATACATTAAATACAGCTACCCATTCGGAATGGCAGAGTACACCAAACAATTTCATAGTCTTACATATTTCAGTGTACGACTCAACAAAAGCTATTTTATAATTATTTCAATATAATTTCACCATTTGGCATAGAGATTCTCTTGAACATCCCCAGATGAACAACAATATCAGATTGATCAGGAAAAACAAAAGAAGCTCAGAAATTATATATATTTTCACTTCAGTAAAGTTATCAAATACTATAAAGTTATCACTATAAAATCTATAGAAAAAAAAAATAATAATAATAATAATTTGACTAATTAATCACAACTTTGTGGGGAACAAGGCTCAGCAAAACCCAACCTTGCTTGTCTCAAGAAACTGGAGTCTGGATTGAGCCTCTCACCTGTTATTGCTGGTTCTGATTTACACCTTGTGAGCAACAGAGGATGAACTGAGCCTCCTTCCATTCCTGTCAATCCTTGAACTCTGTCGTCTCTAATTATCCCATTGATTGAACCATCAATTCTATGCAAATCCCCTGATTTCCCTCACTTTCTTGATCATCTTTTGATTCTGCAATATAATTGGGCTCTCTCTCCAAGCTGGGTTTCTCAATTTTCCTCCCTATTTGTTGCTGGTGATGTCCTTTATTTACCTCATTTTCACTGTCACCTGTTCCTGGTGTTGACAAAGGTGAACCCCAAAACCTACTTGCAAGCGATGAAGATCTATATGGTGCAGATCTACATCTAGTCAATAAAAACGCATTCTTTGGCGGCTCAGAACACTTGAAACCCACATTTGCTTCTTCAACTTGAGCTTGTTCTTCTTCTTCAGCAACGTCCTCATTTTCATTCTCTCTCTCACTACCATTCACTGTAAATTGACCTCTTCCATTCGATTCTACCTTGGACGAATGGTCTACAGTACCGACCTTTTTGCAATACCCAAATCGAAAAAACGAAACGCATTTGCGCCAAATGTGACGAAACGATTTGGGCTTGTGATTCTGAGCAAAACGGCGACAGAACAGAGTTTTTCGAACCCACAGACAGGGCCGATGTTTGGCCGGCGTTCTTGGCAGGCGGCGGCCGGTTTTGCTGCCGGAGTTGTTCTTGGAGGACCTTCGGACTCGAACTTGGCCCATGCAAGTGACTTTTGGTGAAGATGGCTCTTGGGTGGTTTCAATCACTGCGTTCTTTTTGCGTACGAACATTGGGCTTGAACGTGACCTTCCTCTGCTTCTACTTCCCACATTGCTTCTCAGAAACCTCAGCATCAATGGAGGCTGAAACTTCTCTGTCCTGCTTGGACTCGATACGGGTTTTGAAGAAACCCTCATTCTCCCTCTCCGACTATGTCCACTTTTCCTCTTCCTCTTCCTCTTGTTCCTCTTTATCAGGTCTCTTTCAGGTTCTCTCTCGTATCTCTCTCTTTTTCTGGGGTCTGGTTTTCTTCCTGCACTGGTGGGTGAGAAATATTGGTGTATTTCGTAGTGTGATGTCAGACCATGTTCTCATTATTTACTTTATTTTCATTTTGTTCCCGTCCGTCCTGTATGTAATGTAGCTATGTTATTTTACGTTTTGACCCTGTTTTTCTTTTTTGTTTATTTGCACGTAGAGTTGATTAGTCATAGAGGTTTTTCTATTTCGAAGTCGTAGGGTTCTGTTTGGATTTACGTTTAACGTTATCCTAAGGGTCACTATTAAATGCCTTATAACCTTTATTGTGGGCACACTTGTATAGATTTGTGAATTACAGCAAAATTTTGACTTAATTGGACTCCAAAACTTATTTAATGGGGATGAATTGAATTGGACAAAAAAGCAACACTGAGATAGAATACATAGTTGAGGGATTAAATTAATACAAAAAAAAAACTATTCTTTATCGAAGAATTCATGAATTCCGAGCACTTGTAATAACAGCAGGATGAGAAAGATAAATAATCAGCCAACTGTATAGGTCTTAAAGTCAATTTTCGACAAGTAACGCTATGTTTTTCAAATTGTATCTTAAAAAATTCGTCATAAATAAGTTTGCACTTTTACATACCACACATTATAGGCCCCTAAATCAGCTTTTTCCATAAAAAGTGTGGTGTGTGAAGGTGCCAAGTAATTTGAGATGAGTTTTTTGGAATACAATTTGGGAAGTATAGCATTATTGGCCTTCCACTCATTCTCCTTATAGAATGAGCTATGTCATAAGATATAATTTAGAAACATAATAAGTTATCATTAATGAAATGGTAGTAAAATTTATTTAATACTGTAATGATACCTATCATTAAATACATTTCATTATCATTTCATTATTGAAAACTTATTATGTCCCAATAATAACATTAGTGTGAAATTAGCTCCTCCTTAGAATTAATGAGAGCCAGAGTCATCATCTTTCAAGGACTTAATTAACACAGATGAAATAATATAGGAGCCATGCATGTTGGCAGTTAATTCAGTAGTATAGTAACCGTTGGATTTCGATGAAGTAGAGTAAAGTTGGGGTGTGTGGTAGCTTTCATTTTCTAGTCAGATTCTCACTTGGTATTTGTAATCTAGAGAGTGACAGGCTGACAGCTAGCATTGCTCAAGATAGAGATAGGGCAACGGTGTTTGCACGGTAAAGGTTTGTTTGGTTACTCTTTTTTTTTTTTAATTTGTTTACTCAGTCACTCAATTCTGAATGATTGGATGAGGGATTGGTATTATCTTTTTTAAATTGAGAAATTATTTACTAACCTAATCATCCTTTTTGAATTATAACTCTAAATTATATATTAATTAGCAATATTTAACCTAATCAATATTTGATCCATTGACATTTCTAGTCTCTTACAAAGGTGATTACACCCATTTGGTTGACTTTCCAACTCCATTTTCGTGAATTTATTAAAAAAGACGTTTACTTTATAATAGTTTAATCAAAAAATATAAATATATTTATTTATTTAATTTTACTCGAATTAGTTTTCTCTAAGTTTCATACCGGTACGTGTGACCTATCTCAATAAATAAAAAAGTATACAGTAAAAAAATTGGATCCCACCAAAGTCGCTCTCTCTCACACACAAACATATATATATATATATATATACACAGTATATTTTGACGTCAATACCACTAAGTAGCCAAGTTCATAAGGAAACGGCAATGGCTGGAGTTTGTTTTCAGAATTGATGACAATTATGACGATATTTTCAAAGATATTTAGGGTTGGACATCGATGTTTTCTTCCGAAATTGACTATAAAGAAAAGTGGTCGTTGAAATACGAAAGTTCAGTTAAATATTGTATTCAATAAGACCAGTGTTGGGTCTTTTTCTGTTTTGTATTTTCATATAATGGAGGAAAGCATACTTCCAAGAACCCATAAATGGCTTCTTCACCCATCCTTTTATCTCTCTATCTCTCTGCCCAAGCTCAACTAACCACCACGCAATATAAAGATTTCTTCTTTTCTTTTTGTTGGGTGAAAGAGGTACACGGGACGACCACATGTACAATTCTTACAATAACATGATCATAGCAGTTCTTAATTTCAATGGAAAACACTTCAAAGGGGCCTAGACGAGGGAACCACAGGCACTCTCTAAAAACAACCTGAGTCATAACCAACCCTTAACTTCACCAAACCGCTTGGAGTAACTCAACAAATATCATATGTTGTAAAACCATTACTCATCCATGGGTTATATCCCTCATTTCACTATTAAGTACCAATTCATTAGTCCTTTCAATGCACCAAGTGAATTATCTATGCATAAAAAAATTTAGAACTTGAGGGGAAATATAGAAATTTTTAGAACTTGAGGGAAAATATAGAGATTTTTAAAAACTTGTGGAGCTTTATAAATGTTTTTGAAATTGTGCGGGAGGCCATGACCCCACTAGCCCCTCTTTTAGTTCCATCCATGGACATAACCCTTGTAGGTAGGCCCTAAGCGAGACCCTTAACAGAGTCCTAAGCACCACTAGACCACAGAGCTTCGTGTTAAAGTCTACAGATTTGATGTATAAACTATTTCCCCGGGAATACTCCTGCAGATTTCAGACAATTTTCTAATGTATCACATGCAATTCAGTAAGTTCATAGAATTGTTCTTTCCCAACAACAAAAAACAAAAAGTCAACAAAGGTTTCAGGCTTCCTCTCTGGCACTTAGACAGCTCTCTATTAAGGAAAGTGCTTGACTAAGAGGGCAGGCAAACCTAGGTAAGTCAATCTGGGTATCAAACCAATGAAAAAGAGTTAGAAGCTCCAGACACAAGGGAATCAAATTGTTTTTTTAATTTTATTTTTTGTTATTATATTATTCAATCAATAATTAAAAACCATCTAACTCAATCTTTTCAATTGTTACTGACAGTGATACCGTAGTCATATCCAACTAATATTGGAGTATGCAAGAAGGAAAAAAAACGACTTTTGTTTGGGGTTGGGGGAACAAGTGCACAAAAATAGGCAATGTGCTTGAGAGTACCATAATTTAGTATTAATAGCATTGGACGGTGTAAATCTCATAGCCAGAGATGATTGTGCACTTACTGAACTTCCCATTTGCTTGTAGATTAGACAGTATTAATTTGAGTGACAATCATACAAATCAAAGTCCATAGCTCTTTTCATCCCGACAGCTGATTTTGTTGACTCGAGTCCCATCTTCTTCTCGTCATCCATAGCACCGGCTTTGTAGTCTTCCACCTTGGCTTCTGTTTCTTCATCTGAAAAATGAAGTCAAGCATTTAGAGTGACCATTTTATTAGACAAAGAAGGTGACTTGAGAAAAAAAACATATAGGTGGCAACATTTCAACACTTGGCAACAAGGTAGCCTCTATAGAACTACTTAAGAGTAGATTCATGAAAAGAAACTCACACAAGCGAAAGAAAATACAATAATTTCAGTGAAGGGTGTAAGGAAATCCTGCCTGAAGCGCTAGCTAAAGAAAATTGAGTGAGACGTCTAATGCAGTCCCTGAGTGCTTCTAGTTCGACTTCTTTCTCATGGAGTTTAGTGTTGGTGCATTGCAACTGAGACTCCAGGTCCAAAATTTGGCTTTCCTGCTGATCGATGAGCAAATGGCACAGTTTCTGATCCAGTTCAGATGGGCAAACCCCACCGAACTGGAAAGAATTTGAATTCTGGTCATCTGGTTCGTGAAACTCTTTAGCTGAAACTTCATTCTGAAGCATTTTTTCTGGGTCAACCTGAAGTGATATTGTGAATAACCATGTAAGCATATTTGTTAATAAGACCGACTCATGTAACTAATTAGACTAAATGGTGCTTCTGTAGGCATCATTCAGTTTATATGCCAACTCCTAATTGGCCCATATCTAAGGCAGTGATAATTATTTGTGCACTCACCAGTTTTGTGCACTAGGTTTCCTATTGGTAGACAAACTATAAATCACTGTTGTCCCTAAACATGTTCAGACAGATCTACTCCTAAAACTAGCAGGGAACAGCCATAGAGAAATCAAATTGCGCGGATTAAGCTATGAACATATTGTCGAACTGATCAAAACACATTTAAAAGTGAGACAGGAGTATTTTGTATTTGAGCGCTAAAAACTGAGACTAGTCAAGTTTGATGTATTCTTTGTTTTTGGTTTCACAACCTGTTCTAGGTTGGAGTTATGATGGCTGCCATCAAAAGCTGAACCTACCTAACCTAGCCCATGGACAACCTTTATCTCATTAGAAAAAAGTATAGCATTCCCAACCCAAACCATAAACACCTACATTACATTTCATTTAACTCTAGAATCTCCTATCAAAATGGCTGACAACATGAGGCTTCCTTAATTAATGTGAGGGAGCCCACTCTCTGAATGGTCCCAAGACTTACTGGTAGATTGAATTTACTCAACTGATTTTACTAAATAAGCTATGAACATATTGTGGAAATGATCAAAACACGTCTACAAGTGAGAAAGGAGTGTTCAACCATAAAAAAACTGAGTCAAGTTTAATGGATTTTAACTGCCATTTTTGGTTTCACAACCTGTTACAGGTTGGAGGTATGATGGCTGCCATCAAAAGCTGAACCTACCTAAGTGAACTCATGGACAACCTCTATCTCTCATCTGAAAAAAAGAAGGTATAGTTATAGCATTCCAACCCTAACCATAAACACCTACATTATGTTGATTTAGGGATAGGAAGATATGAATGAACCGGTTTGTTGGGCATTAAAAATAAACAAATGGGCAAAGCTCACCTTACAAGTATCTGATATTCTTTCTTCAAGTCCAGAAGGTTCTATGGTGCACCAAGGAAGCTTTTGCAGTTCAGATTCAAACTCTGCTTCCAGTTGATCCATTTCTGGTTGTGGCTCTTCAGTAAGAACACTACTTGCACATTCACCTTCATCGGTAACAGGAAGACTAGGAATGACAAAATCATCTCCATTGTTGGTGCTTGACTTAAGGAGTACTGGGTGGACATGTTGGCCTCGAATTGTGTTCAGAGTGGTACTAACGGCACTTTTAGAGCTCAAAACATGCATATTACGCAATGATTTTCTTTTGGAAAGTTCATTTTTCAGTTCTTGTACAACTTTTTTGGTCTCATCCATTGCCATGTTCAGTTTATCAGTTTCAGCTTTCCCAGCTGACATCATGCACATCATTCCAACTCCAAGTCCCCAACCGAAAATTGAGTTGTCTAAAAACTATCAACATCCATTAGCCATGAACAGCTTGTAACTTTGCATAATTCTAAACAGATCACCCACAAACTAGAGTACAAACATTCTCCAACGCAAACTTGTAAGAACAACCTAGGTGCAAGAGTGAAAAGAAGCATGCACGAGAATTTTTCCCATGTAATATTGTCAAAAGCAATAGCAGTTCCTTGTTGCAACATTCGCAAGATACAAGAGGAAAAACTATATGGAAGCGTAATTCAATTTTAGCCATTGTCACCCAACAAGGATGTAGGCTGATGATACACTCTGATTGATAAATTGTCATCCACAATTTCCACCCCAGAGAGCAAATAAATCAACCAAATGATGCGGTTAGATACTGTATTTTGGACTCTATTGAGCAACAAAGGAAAATTATTAAATTTGTTTGTTACTTGGAGGATCATTTATACAATTTGGTGAATATCTCTTTCTGCACAATTATTTATGAACTGGCATCATAAACTGCAGAGCATGTACTACATGGTCCAAAATCCAAATGTGCAGCCTAAAATGGCATCAACAATACCATTCTGTTAAATAAAAGTACAACAGACATGTTTACAATATCTTGGGTATAATGTGCATTTGGAAAAAGACACTTGATAACAGGGGTTTAAAAATGACAACAGGCAATGTTCTCCTCATTAGCACTGGATTTTAAATTTTTGTACCACTGGATTGTGATTGACATTCCTTGACAAATTGCTCTAAATAAAAAGGACCATTAAAGTTTTATACACAGAAATCTTAAAAATATCATCAAAAAAGTACCATTCAATATGAATGTGCATCTCAGTTCAAAAAAAATATATATGAATATGCATCAGACTCATCAAAATTAATTGTTTAATTACTGAAAAACATGAGAAATACCAAAAACGAACGCTAGTTTGACATGCATAACTATTAAGGCAACTACTTGCAATAAGTAAAAAATATAAAGATGCACACCACAATATAAACAACTTTTTGGTTCGTCTTTTGTGTGTGGGGTTGGAGGAGAGGGGGCAAGAAAGTAGGAAAGAAAGAAAAATGCACCTTTGGAAGCACAAGATTCGCACTTAGCACTCGCATTTTTCCCAGTTCGCCGCTTTTTCAAGCAAACGGCGAATCTCTTCCCACTCTTCCTGTGATCCACCACAACCCCTTCTTCACCACCATTCACAAACCCACATTTCTTGTCTACTTTCCCAGACCCACCATTCTTAAAACCCTCCACATTACCCCTAATCCATCTCGAACCACACCCTGATTTCTTCCTCAATCGAGACCCATCTCCTCCCTTAGACCCCTGAATACTTGAAAACCTAAAGATAGTCTGCAAATCAGTATTTCTGTTCTGGTCATCGATAATGGGAAGAATTGAAACTTGGGGATGAGCAGAGTTATCGAAAGAGTGTTGGGATTTTTTGGGTTGATCACATTTTGGGTTAGTTTGTTCAGAATCAGTAATGGATTCAGTGGCATTGGTGTTAAGGAGTTTTTTGGCGAAGAACCCAGATCCTGCTACTGCTGCTGTTACCAAAACTTGCCACATTGTGATCTGCAACAAACCCTAGTGCTTATAGGAAGAAATTAAGAGAGTACTCAGAAGTTATACTTAGAAATCCACATTCATCACAGCAACTATGTTCTGTTCATATTTGACTCACTGTGGCACAAGTTCAAAAGGTAAACTGGTAGGTGCAACTATGAGAGCATTTTGTTGGATTACAGACATACTCGTGCTATGAAGGCGCGTGGACTGCGTTGCCTACTTGCCTTTGCAGCTTTGATGTTGTTGGCTCACGTGCTTCCCGCTTTAAACAATTTTCAATCGGAGGGACGAGACCGACGAGTGCACCTCCTTTCAATTTTTTTATTCAATTTATGTTAGAAAATTAGAAAAAAAAATTGAGCTAAATTAAATGATGCAGAGATTTTAAAAAATAGGAAGAATTACACTCATATCATCTAAAATTTATCACTTAATCACTTAAATCTCCTAACGTTTGAAATATTACACACAAATCACTTGAGATTTGTAAGCACTTAATACTTTAGATCATTGCTGTCAATGTTCATTAGTATATCAATTAATAAATTATATCCAGACCCCCTAAAATTTGTAAGCATATAATACTTAAACTTTTCAAGTTTAAAATGTTATACTTAGACAAAAAATAATTCAATAAAATATTTTAAATTTTACAACCAAAATTCATGTTTTATTGTATTATTTATTGGAATAATATCAAAAATAAAAATTTATTTTTTTTCTTAAAAAATCGTAATTAGTATATAATTATATTATCTATTAGAATAAAACTAAAAAATAAACAAGAGGTTTAAGTCATTCATAATAGAACATGAATTTTAAAACCAAAACTTATACTCTATTATGTTATTTATTGAAATAAAATCAAAAATCAAAAATTAATTTTTTTCTTAAAAAATATTAATTAGTATACAATTATACTATCTATTGGAATAAACTAAAAATTCAAATAAGTGGTCAAACTATAATAAACATAATATCTTCTAGTTTTAATCAGGATACTTTGGTAGTTTAATTTGGTCGTTTAAACGATCAAATTAAATTCTAATAGATAATATAATTATATATTAATTATGATTTTTTAAGAAAATTGAATTTTTATTTTTGATTTTATTTCAATAAATATCATAATAGAATATGAATTTTAGTTATAAAATTAAAAATATTTTATATTTTATCTTTAATTAGAGTATTTTTAGTTTAATTATAATATTTAAAACTTGAGGGGTCTAAGTATTACACGTTTATAAACTTTAGGAGATTTAGGTGTAATTCAAGAGTCTATAAGTGTTATGTAAGTACAAATCTTAAAAGATTTATATGTAATATTTCAAATGTTAAGATTCTAAGTAATTAAATGATAAATTACAGGGATCAAAGTATAATTGTCTCTAAAAAAATATGTGAACTCGAAAATATGATGTCACGGACTACAGTCAAATTGCATGTAAGACAAACCGATTTGTAACGGCAACGGAAGTTAATGCAATGTAAGAATGTTTATTTTATGTGGTGCAAATTAAAAATTGAAAATCTTCATTCCAAAAACTATTGTGACACTAGCCACTCACTCCTACTAGTGTGCAATCCTTTGGAATTATTATCGACATCAAATCCAAGCAAGCCTTTCGTAATTTAATTATCAATAACTCGGGTTTGAAGTTATGGTGTAATATAAAATTCAGACACTTAAAAAATCGATCTCATTATATTAAATAGCAAACGTTATTTCAATCTTTGTCTTTAAATACAAAATTTAAAATTAATTTTTACCCATTTTTTTTAAAAGGGAAAAAAAATTTCAAAATACATGACCTAAAAAAATATTAACATACGAACACTATATTATATAAATTATTTATAAAATAAAAATTATATTAAGCCATAAATTAGTTAAAAATTAAATGATTCAACTTGTGATAAAAATAAGTGATGTAATATAAAGAAATAAAAAAAAATATGGTAATGAAATAAAAAAAAATATGTGAGAATAAAATTCAAACTAACTATTTATCTTGTTAAATAGATATGGCAATGCAATCTAGTTATAACCGGAAACTCAAGGCAATAGGGCCAAAACAAGTGATTCACTCTGGAAGGTTAGCACAACGATAGACTCCGGCAAAAGACCCGTTAGCCCAGCTATCGACCCCACCATGTGAGGTCTCATGGCAACCGATTTGCCAACGAACAGGATTATGGGTTGTGATCTTCGGCCTGCTAGGCCCAACGGGTTAGCAAGTGGTCCGAACAGTCGATCTTATAAAATTTATCGATAAATAAATAATATTTCTTTTTTTTTTGGTGCTCTGAAAATTGAAATGGGAGCTGCTGTGGGCCCCTTACAAAAATCTACCTAAGATAAGAGCATTTCTAATCATACAAAATCTCCCAAAAATAAGAGCATCTCTAATCAACTGATGACACTTGATGATATAGAAAATAGACTTATGCAAGATCAACTGTTGAGTGTATGATAAAATGTCATCAATAAAACAATAAATAAAGCAATTAATGGCAAAAAGGTAAATATTTGGTCAACACACAGATGTATAATGGTTCAGTTCACGTGACCTACTCCACTCTAGAAAATGGCAACGGTGGTCGGAGATCCTTTATTAATGAATAAAGTAAGAGAGAGAAAGCTATGGAAGATGTACAATAACTAGAAACGAGAAAAGTTATGTGGAGAGAGCTTACAATTTATAACCATTGAATTTTAGTTGAGACAGTGACGTGAGGGCAAAGGCACCAGTCCTTTGGGAGGACAACTAAAATAAGTAAGTATAATTAAAGGTAACATTGTTCTTTGAGAGTGGATGATTTGGGCTCCATTAATTGGTTGGGCCAAACCTAGTAGGAATTAGACTCGTCATTTGCCCCCCAGGCCCCAAGCCCCGATTGCTTGTGAGAGAAGGGGTTTGAGGGCATGAGTGAGCCTTTGGATAGGTAATGGTTCCTTATTATCTACGGTAGTCTTCAGCTTTCAAATTCTACCTACAAAAATTATTTCCCCATTTAGTATCACCATAGGGTACCCATTGCATTGATCATCGTCCCGTATGTTGGATCTCTACTGAATTTGGAACCTTTTTTTTTTATATTCTTGCCACCACTTTTAGGGCTTTACAGGGCTCTTTCTTTTTTCACCCCATAAACCATCAAAGGAGATTGAGAAAAAGAGAGATGGAGATGAGAGGAAAAATGTCGAAAGGAACATCCATACTAGGTGGATCCATTTTGGAGATTCTGTGGATAACCCCATGAGTTTCTCGAAGGCAAGGCATGGAGGCACCGATGCCCGTTGTGGTGAGCGAGACTAGAACATCTTTGGAAAGGGATAACCCAGCAGCAGTGGGCAACACCATAGTAACTCAGCTAGCTAGTCAACTTCGTTGAAGTGGAGGACGATACCAGAGTGCCCCAGGCAATAGGCGATGCTTTTGGCAGCCATAGGAGTGCTACAATGGCAGTAGCCGACATCCTCACGTGGACCCAGCTAGTAGGCTATGCCAGCAAGGCGCTGGCCTAGGCAACAGGCGATGTCTAATAGGCAGGCAATAGGCGACGCTAGGCAGCAGGCACTGGTGCTGGCTAGGCACAAGGCACTGGGCACTAGGTGTAGGGTAGGCAGTAGGTGATGACAAATAGGTGGTAGCAGGCTGGGCGCAGGCTGTTGGCATTGGTACTGTGTGTTGGCTTGGAGCAAGAGGCAATGCCTTGGAGCAGAAGGCTGGTCTTGGCAACGCTAGAGGATGTATGTGGTCTGGGCGATGCCTGGGAGGCCTGGGAAACTATGAAAAAATGGTAAAACTTTGAACGGCCATAACTTTGCGCTCGGTAGTCCGTTTAAGGTGATTTTTTTTTAATTTGGGTATTTTTTTCGAGATATACAACATACAAATTGCCAAAGGCAGCTTGGACAACAAATTTTTTTCCAAAAATGCTTCTATCTCTCTGAATTTGAGTTTTAAACACTAATTAGTGAAACCGACAACAGTGTGAAGTTGTGCTCTGGTAGGCAGCTGTTAGGCATTCATGGGTGGCGAGTTGGTGTTTGGGGTTTTGATAGAGAAGGAGACTATAATGGTTTTTGGCTAGGTAGGAGGCAACCCCACTTTCTCCAATCTTGTTTTTTCCTTAACATTTTCTCGATGCTAGTTCTTTATATTGACAATGTCTCTAATTACAAGCACCCTATTGACAAAGTGATGTTGGAAGCTCTCTATGCTTTTAGGGTGGCGTCTTCCAATCTTCTCAAGAAGGCGAGGTTTGACACCCTAAGTACTTTTCAACCGATGCCCGATGGCCAGGTTGTTTCCTCGGAGCTAGAGCGGGTGATGCCACCACTCTTTCCTAAATTGTCACTCTCGTGAGTACTAGAGCTAGCCCTTGTACAGTTGTGGGAGTTGAGACTCTAGTGTAGTCTTCTAAGGGGGCTATAGCTCCGCATAGTTGCCCTACTTCAAATTGTGATTCAGTGTCCATGCTTCTACGTGACTTTGGCCAAAGAGCGGATTTGGAGGTCTGTGACTCCAGGGGATATCAAAGAGGTTGAATCTTGAGGTCCAAAAAGCATTATCAATACCGCAATGGAGGGGCCTTCCATGGTATGCCTTTCTACTCAACTTTGATTTTATACCTGCCTCTTTTCCTTCATGTTCTATTTTTTGAATGCTTGCATGTAGCTGCTGCTTTTCCTTCCCTTTTTCAAGGACAATCTAGCTTGGAGAGACATTCAGGCATCTGGTAACAGAGAGGCAGGCAAGAAGGGCTGTTGAGTGCAATTGAGGTTGACTCATGAGAGAGCAACACCTTTTGAGGCCAAGCTTCCTAGTGACTCATGAGAGAGGCGTTAAGCTAGAGATTGAGGGTAGAGCAAAGATAAGATTAAATCGATCTTCTTAGCAACTCGCGAAAGAGTGCGAAGCTGGATACATAGATTGCTTGGGAGTAGAGGTAGGATTGGGTTGAGCTTTTCTGGTGACTTGTGAGTGAGTATGAAGTTAGAGATATAAGTTGTCTACGTGAGAGCAGATGCAGAGTTAGGCCGAGTTTATGGCGACTCATGAGAGAAATGCTAAGCTGGAGATATCAGTTGCCTACTTGAG